CAGGAAACGGTCAGGTCCTCGCCACCGTCCACACTGCCAGGTGCCCACTGCCCAGGACCTCTGTCCTCAGGACCCCGCTGCCCAGGTCCCTCCACTGCCAGGTCCCCCAGGTCTCCCACTGCCCTCGTCCCTGAGGTCCCCCACTGTCTAGGTCCTCTGTCCCTCAGCTCCCCCACTGCCCAGGTCCCTCAGATCCCCTACTGCCCAGGTCCCTTAGGTCTCCCACTGCCCAGGCCCTCTGCCCCCCAGGTCCCCCACTGCCCAGATCCTCTGCCCCCTAGGTCTCCCACTGCCCAATTTCCTCCGCTGACAGGTCCCCCACTGCCCAGATCCTCCAGGATCCCCACTGCCCAAGTCCTCTGTACCCCAGGTCTCCCTGGTCCCCCACTGCCCAGGTCTGCCACTCCCCAAGTCCTCACGTGCCACTTCTCCACTGCTCAGATTCCCCCATGCCCGGTCCCCCACTGCCCAGTGCCCCCTGCCAGGTCGCCATCCCTCCTGGCCACAGCTTGTCATTTTGCACTGCCTGTGGTATGGGGCTTGAGGAGCCTGTGTCCCCAGCACGCAGGTTCCCATAGGTGCCTTTGTTCAGGGAGGCATTTCTGGGGCCCACCACAGAGCCAGGCAAGGTGTTCAATAAAGATCTCTTAAAAGCCCAACAAGCAGAGTGCCCTCAAGCACCCCAGGGGGGTCACCTGCCTGGCCTTGTCCCGGCACACCTGCAGGGACTGTGTTCGCACTCTCACGCTGGCCAGCGTGGCACCTGGCGCACGTAGTGGGTTTTGGGCGAACGGCCTCGGTCCTCTGGTGTCTGGACCTTTGTCCCAAGTTTACTCAGTGGTCATGAGAGAGGGGACAAGTTTAAAGTGCAGGTGCGGGCAGCTGCAGCTTGAGCTCTGCAGGTGTGGCAATGCCTGTTCAGTGCAGCCTTCCAGAAACGTTGGGTCCATGAGGCAGATACTTGTAGAAATACATCCAACGCCAGTGTCTCACGGGGAGAAGAGGCGGGCAGGGAGTGGGAGCATGGAGGTCAGGGCCCAGCGCGTGTCCCTGTCCAGCGGCGCTGTCCACCTGCTCTCCGGTGGGTCTTACTCCGAGACTGCTGTGAAGCGCCCTGGCGTTCTCCCCATGGGTCCGTTCAAGGCCTTTGTGTCGGCCCCTCGACACACAGTTTCTGAGCCTGGTGTCCTGCCCACTGCCCCTGACCTCCGGCCGGGAGGCGGCGGGAGAAAGGTCGGCCTGTCTTTGAAATGAAAACCAAACAGGAGAGATGCTGGGTTTGCAATCTGTAGACGTGGCTGTTTGGGGCTAGGCGAAATCTGGCGGTGTGGCATTTTCGAGTGTCAGATGCGTTTCTGAAGTGGCCACTTGAAAACGCTTAACTTTGGTTCTTCAGCAGAGGTGCAGAGGGACTCAGCTCTCTTCAAAACATTTCCTCGCAGTCCAGAGGTGGTGTTCCCACAGCTGAAAGGAGGGGCTAGGGCTCCCTGGGTGACGAGGACTGGTGCATCTGGTGGAAGTCGGGAACAGCCTCCTTGGCTCCCTGGCACCTCTCACAGCAGGTGTGGGACTTAAGGGGACCTAGTGGAGGACAGGGAGCCCCTGAGCTCTTACTCAAGCCACTGCCCTGATGGGCTGCTGTCAGTGCTGTGGCTTTAAACCCTCTGGGGCAGAGCTCCAGCCTAAGCTTTTCCCACAGAGAAATGTCTCTCTGAAGTGAGACTGCCACTTCCCTCCCGAGGCGGTGCTCGCCAGGCTTCTCTGGGTGACCCTCATTTGGGCTGTGTCGGCTGTCCCCTCAAAGCAGGGGGGCTATGGGTGCAGCTCTGAAAAGGAGAGGTGGTGCCCTCCCTGGTGGCGCAGCAGGTTAGGGCGCTGCACTATAAGCTACTTGCAGCAGCCTCAGTGAGAGCTTGATCCCCAGACTGGGAGGTGACCACATGGCGTGGCAGACCTCTCCTGACCTGCGCACTGCTCCCCTCAGCAGTGCACTTGGTCGATCTACCTGCTCTGCTCCCCACTCTTCCTCTGGTGAATGCTCTCACCGCTCCTGCACCTCTGGTCTGTACCCCTGTTCTATATGTATAAATAAATCTTACATTAAAAAAAAAAGGAGAAATGGGGGCCTCCCCGTTGACACACGGTTTGAGTCTCAGCACTATCAAGCTGTCCTAGCCTAGCCACCACAGCATGAGTCCATCCCTGCCAGGGAGTAACCCCAGGGCGCAGCAGGCCCCTCCTGTCTCACCTGCTTCCCCTGAGCAGTGGGTTTCAGTCACTCTGCCTGTTCTGCTCCCCACGCTGGCTCTGGGGGATCCTCTCCCTCCCTGCATGTCTGGCCTGTACCCCAGTTCTTGTGCGCATAAACAAATCTTAAAAAGACAGGCGAAGTTGACCCTAGTGACATATGTAACCCAGCCCAGTGGACATGGCCAGCCTGTACTCGGTGTGAACGCCAGTGAGATGTTCCATTTGTTTCGGGGTGGGACCTTGACCGTCTGGGGTTTCCTTTGCCCTTGGGGCTGGTCACCCAGGCGGGGCAGCCTGGTGGGGTAGGGCTGCAGGTAGACAGAGCAGCGCGCCCCCAGGTGCGCCTCCTATCTGCCCGCCCTCCCGCGGCAGAACCCCGCCACCCTAAACCCTGGTGGGGCCCAGCTCATCTTTCACACCTGCTGCCTTTGCTGTTAGTAATTCCACCAGCCCTCGGTCTCCTGTGTCCGACATCTGATTCTTACTACTTTATCCTGTGTATTGGACAACTTTCCCGGAGTTTTGCTGAAAGCGCCTTCCTGTCCTCTGCGGCCCTCTTCCCGCCATCTTTGCTTTCTCTGCAGAGTCTGCTTTGTGGCTTTGTGGATTTTAACTTTTTAACCTGTTTCTCCAAGACCAGCGTCCTTTTCCCTGCGTGGCTTCACGCTGGAGGCCGGCTCCACTCCCCGTCCCCTCCCCAGACGGCTCCCTCCCTCTGCCTCAGCTCCCTGTAAGTTGTCAGTGGCTTCCCTTTGTGGCTTACCCCCTGCTTTAAGCCTATGGCAGCTATCCAGAGGGCCAGTCAATAGCAGCCGATGCTAAAGTGACCCGCTCAGCGCAAATAAAGGAGGAAAAGAAACCTTGGAGAGGAAAACCAGGCTGTTCTGCGAGCAGCATCTGCCTCAGTATTGCTGCAGGAGTCAAGGCTGGGAGCCTCGCTGGGCAGGCACTTGCCGGCACCCCAGCGTGGGGGCTGGGGTGAGAGGGAAGCCCTGGGTGGCCCCCTAGCCGAGGTGATGCTGCTGCCCCTGCAGGACAGGGCCTACCTTCTCCACAGGTGACCTTGGCAGTGCGGGGGGAGGGGGGGCGGGGGCTTCACCCCACCTGTCCCCAGGGCTGCCCAACACATCACCCCGGTCCTGCCCTGCACCCCCGGCACACGCCTGAGCCCTGCAGGTTGTGACCTCTGGCTCCAGGTTTGCCAAGTGACTACTCACAGCTCAGGTTTCAGTGGGTACCCCTGGAAGTCTTAGAGGACTGTGGTGAAGTGGTCGCCCCACCCGGGAACATGGGGTCTCTGCCTGCATCTTTCTGGCTCGTTCTGTGCTTTCTAGTGTCTTACAGTTTTCATTGTATAAGTCCTTTAAGTCTTTTCTTCGCTATTTAATTTGGATGCGGTATAGCTGGGACCTTTTCTTATTTCTCCTCACTTGTTATTTGCATATTAGTTTTGTAGCGTGCCCCTTTGAGGCACTTAGTGTTTCTAAAGTTTGTTTTTTTTAAGATTTATTTATATATGCTCGCAAAAACTGGAGTGCAGGCCAGAGGTGTGGGGGTGAGAGGATTCACCAGAGACAGAGTGTGGGACAGAACTAGTGGATCCACTGAAACACACTGCTGAGGGGCAGCAGGGAAACAGGAGGGGTCTGCTGTGTCCCGGGGTCACTTCCTGGCCGGGTATTGGGCTTGCTGCTGCAGCCAGCTCCATAGTGCTGTGCTTAACCCCGGTGCCCCAAGAGGGCCCCCATTTCTGAAGTTTTTATGTAGTCTTTGGGCTTTTCTCATTATTAGCATCTGTAAATAATGACAGTTTTGTTTTTCTAGCTGAATTCCTTTATTTTACTACTCTTTTCTGATCTAGGTAAAACCTCTGTACTAAATTAAACAGAAGTGATAAATGTGGTCCTGATCTTAAGGGAGATTTGCAGTTTTTCACCACTGAGTATGCCATGAGGGTGAGTTTCTGTTATGTGACCCTTAGGTACTGAGCTACATCCTTCCACACCACCTTGTCAGGGCCCGTAGGTGCTGGCGCTGCGGTTTGTCCGAGGCGCTCGCTCGCTGGTAGAAACAGACCTGAGTATCCTTGCGTTTGTGGAGCTGATGGATTGTTACGTGGGTTGTGTTAAACCAGCCTGTTTCCCTGGAGTAAACCCCACCCGGCTATAGTGCATGCTCCTCTCACTGGGTTGTTGGGTTTCATTTGCTAGTGTTTTCTTGAGAACTTGTTTGTCAGCAGTCATCGTAGGTAACGGCCTGTCATCTTGTTTTGTGAGTGTCCTTGTCTGGTTTTGGCAAGAGGGTAACGCTGGCCTCACAAATGTATTAGAAGGTGCTCACTGCTCTCTGACTCTTTTTGAAGAGATAGGCAGAATTTCCCCCTGCAGGTTTGACAGCATTCACTTATGAAGTCCTGTAATGAAGTAGATGTGTATTTATAGCCACTTCACATTCTTGTGATGCTTTCATAGTTTGTTCTTTTATTTGTCTCTTTTTCACTTATGTTTTGACATTTTCCCTGTGTGTTTTCAAAGTCATTTCCATTGTCTTACAGATTTCTTCTATGGCTCTTGGTCCAGAACTGATACTGAGGTCTGTGTGGCAGCTGTGCTCGTGACCTGTTGAACAGTTGATCTTCCACTTGTTCTGATGGTTCATGTTTTATATCCTCCCTTCTCAAGTTATATGATTTTGGTGTCTGATAGCGTCTAAATAAAATGTGTTATTTGTCCCTTTAATACTTCTCTCAGGCCTGATTTAGTGGAGACAAATTCTTGATTTTCGCTTTGCTGTGAACTTTTTTATCCCTCCTTTGGTCCTGAATGATAGTCTGGCTGGGTAAAGTAAGGTATGTTGGCTTTGTGTGCTTTATATGTCTCCAGCCATTCCTCTCTGGTCTACAAGGCTTTCTGCAAGGCTTCTGCCTTGCGATGCCCAAGAACAGACCAGAGTGTGACCTTGCCCTGCGTCCAGGCCCCTCCCATCACCCGCAGCTGGCGGCTCACACACTCGTCATCCTGGAGGGCCTTCCTGGATTTGCTGTTGGGGCTTTGGGCTGCTTGGACCAGGATGGCGGCTTCCTAGGTCAGGGGGCTTCTCAGTTCTTTCTTAAAGGAGGTTTTCTATCCCTTTCTCTGCACCTCCTTCTGGGTCCCTTGGGACGTGAATATTGCTTCCCTATGTATTGTCCTGAGTCCTGACCCTGTCTGTAATTCTCACGTTCATGTTATTGGCTGTGCAGCCGTCTCTGACCACACGCATTCCACCAACCTCAGTGGTAGAAAACAAACGATCCCATGGAGAACACCATAACAGTAAGGGCCTGTGAGTCCAGGCTGCTGCTGATGAGGTAGCCAGGGCCCATGTCACCACCATCTGGGGGTCCTGACCTAGAGCCCAGAGGCTGGCCACCATGGCATGGGCTGTGCAGGCCACCGGCTACAGTATGGGAGCAGGCTCTGGCACTCAGTCTCCACCCTCAGCTGCAGTGAGTCGGGTTCCGCCAGGAGGGAGTTCTTCCCTGTGTCACGCAGTTGAGGTTCTGGCACCAGAGCGGGTTGGTACCAGGGAGGAGACCACATCTCTGGGCTTAGACCCGGTGCCTCCTGTGGAGCGTGGGTGGACACCCTGCTGCTGGCCAGGTGGGGATGCAAGGGTTGTGGGCCTTGCATTCACCAGCTGCCTGGCTGTGCCAGCGGAGCCCAGCTGTCCCCTTTCAGGAACAGATGGTCCTGGTCGGGCTGCTCCCCGCACATGCCGCCTCCCACTGCAGACCAGGGCCCAGGGTGGTCTCCTTCCCTGCAGACTCACTTTGGCCAGGATTCGGTAGTGAGGCCCCAGGCGCGACCCCACTGTGTCCCAGAGTTGCCCTCCTACCCTCCATGATGCACGTCCAGAAAGCAGCCATGTCCAAAAGAACAAGAGTCTGCTGCTCGCTCTGACCCCGGCTCGGCTTAGCACACGTCTGTGGTGGTTCCACTAGACGCTAGTCCCCCAGAGCCCCTTCCTGCCCCCACAACAGCCTCCCTGAAGATGAGCACTCGCAGGACTGACAGAGGTGGTGAGGAAGTGGCTGAAGGGACTCACCACCACCATGTCACCTCACAGCCGGGCAACTGCATCCCTTCCACTGGGTCAGACCCCCGCTGGCTCCAGGCCACGCCCTGGCATGCCTTACCCACTGCATCAGACTGCACCGGTTTGTTACCTGAGTATGCTTGCTCTGTTGTTTCTAATAGTAGCCTCACGCTTTTTAAATTCAATGCTGATTTATAGTTTATTTTTACATTTTTTTGAATGAAGGGCCATTGTTACATCCTTATTAATATTTTGACAGTCCAGGATTTCTTCCTCAGGTGTCCCTGAAGCTCCTATCACCAGAGTACCCAAAATCTAGTCCCTGTGACCTTTCCACTCCCCTCCTCTCTTGGATGCCTCAGGTATCTGGTCAGCTTTCTGAGTTTGTCTGGTCAGCTTTCCGAGTTTGTCTTTAACCCTTTGTTTTTTCTATAGTCCACATGTAAGTGAAACCATCTGACATTTCTCTTTATTCTTCTGACTTAATTAATTGACCACCATCCCTTCCAGCTCCATCCATGTTGCTGAAATGGAATGAGCTCATCCTTTTTGACGACCGAGTAGTATTCCACAGCATGTATAGACAACATCCTCTCGATCCATTCATCTCTTCTGGACACTTAGGTTGTTTCCATACCTTGACTCTTGTAAATAGTGCTGCAATAAACATAGTGGTGCAGGTGTCCTTTCTAACTAGTGTTTTTGTGCTTTTTGAGTGGATACCTTAGGAGTGGATTTGCTGGGTATACTGTAGATCCATTTTTCATTTTTCAAGGAATTTCCACACTTCTTTCTACTGTGGCTGGGCCAGTCTAGATTCCCACCAACAATGTGAGAGAGTTCCTTTTTCTCTCCACCCTTCCCGACACTTATCTGTGGAATTTTTTTGCTCTGGGCCATTCACACAGGTGGGAGGTTGTGTCCCACTGTGGTTTTGATTGGCATTTCCCTGCTAAGTGCTGATGGGCATCTTTTCACACGCCTGTCTGCATGTCGTCTTGGAGAAGTCTGGTCTTCTGCCCATGTTTCGCTGGACTGCTTCCTCTGGGCCCTTTGGGGATCTCTGCCATCAGCTGGCCCACACTACGGCATACAGATACTCTCTCTGCTCAGTGGGTGTCTCTTCATTTTGGTCACTGTCTCTCTCCCATACAGCTTTAGTTTGATGTAGTCCCAGTTCACATTTTCTTTGCAACTCGGGTAGCATCAAAATTTTTAGAGAGACAAAAATGGCATCACTGTGTGGCTGGGGGTGGTGACATTGGATGTCCCGCTTATGTAGGGGATATTGAGACACTACGGTATCTTCCTGTTCTCCATCGAGGAGAACTGACTTAGCAGTAGGAACAGTGGGAGCTCATGAAAGCGCTCAGCTAACCTCCGTGGAAGCACAGCTCAGGTAGGCCCGGACAGAAGAGCGCAGAGGCGCTGCCAGCGGGCAGTGGAGCCGCGCCCCACAGAGCACGGCAGCAGGCTCGGCCGCTGGCTGCCTCTGCCACTCCCTAGCCGCCCCGCCCCACCCCGCCCTGCGCAGTGTTTTTGGGGGCCTACTGGGCCCTGCGTCAAATGCTGATACGCTAACCATGGAGAAAGGAGGTGCCTGGCAGGAGTACTCAGCCTGACCAGAAGCAGAGTTCCGTGACCCCTGGAGCTGTCAGGCCCCCTTGGTGCAAAGTGGGCTCAGCTGCCCCCAGGGTGATGCACTGCGGGGCCAGAGAGGAGGCAGGTGATGCCGTTGGAGGGCGCTCCAGGTGGCCCAGCTGCCCCCAGGTGGCTGGCGAGGGCTGGGGAGGGGAAATCTGCCCCCATGATGGACAACTCGAGCTTGAGTCTGATATGGTGGTAAACGCTGGGCTCCTCAGATGGTTCAGAGGAGGGTGAACTAGCAGAGATAAGACTGAGGCTTAACAATGAGGTGTGAGCGTGGGCCGTCTTTTTCCCAAGGCATGAACAGCTTTCCTTTGTGTCGGCATTCCAGAGCCTCCCACTGCCCTTGCCGCCTGCCCCGCTAGCCCTTGGTAACCAGAGCACACCGCACAGAGCCTCCTTTCATCGCCTCACTGCCGGAAGAGCTGTGTCCTTTCCCATGTCCCGAGCCCAGGGGCTGGTCCGCTTCCAGGGTGTCCTGAATGCAGCGGTGCTCTGGCCGGGTTAGAGTCCAAGGACGTCTGCATTCTCAGCGCTTCCTGTAGCAGCAGAAGTTGTAAAAATCATTACAAATGTCTCGTGTTGCAGCCTCAGCAGCGGCTCTGGCCCTCATGCCCTGTGGAGTGCCGAGGCCCTTCTTTCCCCTGAGGGCGGGTAGACGTGCTTTCTGGGTAGCGGAAGTGTCTTACTCATTCAATCCAGGCCGTCACTGAATATCTTGACATGAGACAGGAGTGTTAGCAAATCAGTGTTGGGTTTACTTCCATACCCTTGGACTGCAGGACGCTACTTGGACAATACTGGTGGCAAGAAAGGCACCTGAGCAACCAGAAGATCTGGCTGCTTCCCTCAGACAGCACCCCACCAGCTCCGGGGGCTTCACCCTCAGGAGGCCAAGCGGTCGCGGGGGCCCTGCCATCTCTGACAACACCTCCCCATTCTGTCCCGCTCCCTGGCGGGCTGGTCAGGATGGCAGGGAGGCCGGTCAGCAGCAAAGCAAAGACAGTTCCCGGCTGCAGCCCTCGGGGCAGGCGGGGGCTGGTCCTGCACTGGGCCTAGCGCTGCCAGGAGCTTGGCCCTGCCGTGCTCACACCAGGCAGGCTGAGTTGTGGTGATGCGAGGGGTCCGTGTCAGGGGGCCTAACGTGAAGGACTTAGTCTGGGGGCTGTTTTTCTTTATTTTTCACGACAGAATGCTCATGAATTCCTGGGCTGTCTACCCGCCTTACGTGGATCCTTCTTGGGGAGACTGCGCCCAGGCATCACCACCTGGCGGGCGCAGCGGGAGCCCTGCTCTGGGCACGGCAGCAGCTCCTGACCTAAGACACCCGGTGCAGTGGGCGTCCGGACGGGCCAGTGCGCAGGGTCTGAGTGGGCCACGGGGAGCCTCACACCCGCTCCCGCATAGGCTGCCAGCACCCCCTGGGCCCGGCACCTCAGTTTTTATGTAATAGAAACTGCTGGGACCCACAGCTTTTACTGTAGCCAGAGGCACTCTGGCCAGTGCGTGAGGACCGACGTCCAGCCCGACACACAGACGCTCTGGGCCCACCGGAGTGAAGCGTGGCCCCTGGCTGGGGAGGGGCCTCAGGGCTCCTCAGCTACACAGCTGTGGACAGTGGTACTCATGGCCTCTGGAAGCGACTGGACGTGACAGCACAGGGCCGGCTGACGCTTAGGTGCCTGCCGGTCCTGTGTGGGCTGTGATGGACTGGCCCGGGGCACCCCCTTCCTGCCTGTGGCCCACCCCACTGCTGCGACGTGAAGGCCGCCCCCCACCTGTGCTCACCCTCCCCTCTGGGGGCTCCGAGGGCTGGGGGGAGCTCTAGGGGCTTCCAGGGCACAGCGGGACTACCCAGGGAGAGCCTTTCTGTCGTCACCAATCGAGGAAACAGCGTCACACTGCGTGCAGCGGTGGCACCCAGGCCTGGCCGCGTGTCCACCCTTGTCCACAGTCTCTCCCCCTCCCCTACCTCTACTGTCTCGTGAGTCGGCCTGAGATTTCACTCGATGCCTCCAGCCGACTCGTTTCACGCAGTGCTACTGACCTGCAGGTTCACCCGACCACGCAGCCGACCAGTCGCCTCCTCACCCCCACGCAGGGCCACGCCGGTCTGTGCCGTCTGCTGTCTGGTCAGCGGTGGCTGGTGCCCAGCGCATGAGGGTCTCCTCTGTTTTGGGGTTTTCACGTTGAGATGAACACACAGACACGGACTCGAGGGCACTGGCCTGCGCCTTTCCCGGGGGGCCCGTCCTGCTGTGTGGGGGGCGCTGCTGTGCCTGGCCCACGCGCTGGGGTCTGTTTCCACATCTGTAAGCCACACAACACCCACCATGAGGCCCTGGGAGTCCCCCGGGCAAAGGGAGGACGCTGGTCACAGGCTCCAGGCCCCTCTCCTGCCAGCGCCTCACCTGCAGTCACAGCTCTGCCCTGGTCTCAGACTTAGGAAGGCGAGTCCGCGGGCCCCAGACAGCTTGTCTCTCCAGGCGATCGGGCAGTGGCCAGAGCGGGCACGGGACACCGAGGCACCCCGTGTCGCTGGCCGCCTCATCCACACCACGCCCTGGTCTGTGGGCATCACGCTCTCCTCTTCCCAGACACCCCGCACCCAGCTCTGGGTTTGCTCACAAGCGGCCACAACCGCCAGGTTCATGTCTGCCTCCCACCCCTGCACGTCAATCTCTGCACGCCCACCCCTGCATGTCCACACTGGCGCGCCCACCCTTGCAGGCCCTCCCCTCATGCCCACCCGTCCCTCACATCCACCCTTGCACGCCCACCCCTCACGCTCACCCCTGCACGTCCATACCTACGCATGCACTCCTTACGCCCGCCTCTGCATGGCCATCCTGCACTGCTTTGCTTCTGATGAGAATCCCGGCCACACTGGCTACCCTCGCTGCCCGGCCCGGCCTCGCCTCCGGAGACTATTGTCTCTGAGGTCGGCCTTGCTGCTACCTCACCCCGGGGTGATGTCAGGAAGGCGCCATCTGCTGACTCCACGAGGTGTCGCGTGCTCTGTGACCCTCTCCCCCGTGACCCCGCGCGCATCTGGAACCCTGTCCCACGTCACCTGAGCTTGGCCCTGGGGTGACCCGGCGGCCCGAGAGGAGCAGCGTGCCACCTCTGCCCCGTCCCTCTCTGCTCCTCTTCGCCCAGTTCCTGCGGAGAGGAGCAGGGACTGCTCCTGCCTCCGAGACCCCCGGTGGGGCTTCCTAAGTACCAGTGTGGACGGTGGAGTTTGACCTGAGCAAACAAATGGGGAAGGTCGAGGCCTCTGCTCCCGCAGCAGGCGGCGGCTTGTGGGTGCTTGTGCGCCGGGGCCCGGGGCCCGGGGCCCCCTAGGGAATGGCCGCGGGCAGGTGGAGTCAGCCGGGGCTGGGCAGCTGAGCGCCTCGCTGGGCAGCTCGCTGCCCAAGTACAGGCGGTTGGCAGACACCAGTTCCGCGCTGGAGCCGGGGTGGGGGCGGGAGGCAGAGGGCAGTTGCCACAGGGCCCGCGTGTCCTGCGCCCTACACCGGCTTCCCACAGCGAGGCTCCCCAAGCTTCCCTGACTAGTCCCTGGGAGTGGGGCGGAGGCGCGCGGCTGGCAGAACCCGCAGGCCACATCCAAGGCTCCCGGGCCTGACCCCACAGCCCCCTGGCCTGGCTGCCCCAGTGGGGCAGGGCCGCTGCCAGCCCCCTCAGGATCCTCCCTCCATCGGGTCTGTCCTCTCAGAGGAGCTGAGCGTGCAGCCCGAGGAGGGCGCCTCCTGTTGGCCAACCCGAGATTCTCAGAGTCGTTCTGCCTGTGCCCATGAGTGGGGCTGGGATGGGGACTTCGCCAGAAAATCCAGCGGCCTCGGGGTGCTGTCCGGCTCGCTTCGCCCCTCCCCACAGTTCTGCAGGCTGCTGAGGGCAGCATGGCCAGGCCGGGGGGCTGGGCCTGGTGGTGCCCTCTCAGGGTTCGGCTTCCCTTGGGGGCCTGCAGCACAGCCTCAGCCCCTGAGACCGCTCCTCACGGACTCGCCTTCAAGGCCTCACCTGGGGCTTCCTTGTCTTCTCAGGAGCACCTGAAGGCCTTTGATGACCAGGTCAACGCTTTCTTGGACAATATGTTTGGGCCTCGAGGTAAGTGAGACCTCCTTAATATAGGGACCCAAGTGGGGGAGACGGTTGTCATATCGAGCGTGTGTTTACTTCAGGATGCGCCTGCCTTGTCAGGACACCCGCCCTCCCCAGGACGTCCCAGAGCCCCAGCGTGAGGCCCCTTCCCAGACCTAGCTAGCCCTGCCTCCCGCACCGGCTCCATCTCCCCAGCCCGACCCCTCCACGCCGGCTCCTACCTCCTCTGCTCCATTCTGGACTTTGCGCCTCTTCAAAGACCTGTGCTTGTGCTCACCCAGGCTGAGGCGGGGGTGCCAGCCTCTCAGTGCCTGCCCTCCATCACTGCAGTGACCCATCCATGCTCTTGCCGCTTCCTCACCCCCAGCACCCCCCGCCCAGTGCAGTCATCTCTCCCTTGGTCATGGGCCGTAGCTGTGACCTCCTGCTTCTCCTCATCCCCATCACTTTGCCCTGTCACTTGGGGTCAGCTTAACCTGAATCCTGTGGGGCGTGGACACACCGACTGGCCAGCTGCAAGGCTGCAGCCCAGCTGCTCCCACCCCTGCGGCCTCTGCAGTGGCCGGCTCCCCCTTAGGCATGCAGGCGCATGAGACCTTCTGACTCAACCTCTAGAGGCTCTCCCCAGCATTTGCGGGTTGGGGCTCCCTTGGGGCCATCTCTTTCCCCACCCTGTTGTCTCCTCTGGGCATGCCTGAGGTCAGTTGCTCGGGCACAGGTCTGGGTCCATGGTCTCCACGGCCTCCACAGCCTGTTAGTGTTCCAGGAGAAGCGGGCGAATCTGTCCCGAGCACACGGTTCAAGGGCGCCTGCTCCCTCACCGGGCCACACACCCACGCTCGTTCCTCAGCCGCCGGGACGGGGAGAGGTTTTCCTGATTTTCAAGTCTGTGGCAGCGACCTTTTTTCACTGTACTTTTTACTGTGGTGACACGGTCGATGACACTGTAAGTCTCAGGTGCAGGTCACGCCCTTCACAGTCTTCCACCACAGTGCTCGGAGCCTCTTGCCTTTGCTCTCCCCTGCTTCCCCCAGGAGCCTCCCTGCTGGTTTGTACCGCTTTGGCTGTGTCCATTCCCCTGTGTTACTTCTTATATCCCATTTATGAATGCCATCATTAAGTATTTGACTTCAAATGGCAAGATTTTATCTTTTTTTGTAGCTCAGTCATATTCCAGTGTGCACATAGACTGCTTTCTCCTAAGTCGCTCATCTGTCTTTGAGGATTTAGGTCGTTTCCAAACATGGCTTTTGTGAGGAGGGCTGTAGTGAACATGGAAGTGCAAATATCCCTTCAAATCAGTGATTTTGCATTCTTCAGGTAGATACCTAGGAGTGGAATTGCTGGGTCACAGGCTACATCTGTTCTTAGCATTTTGAGAAACTAACACACTGCTTTCCGCGGGAGCTGAGTCAGTCTGCATTCCCTCTCGCTGCGTAAGTGGCTTCCTTTCCCCCACATCCTCACACTTGCTGTTTCTGCTCTTTTTGACTTAGTTTTTGTGTGTGGTGTAAGACAGTGGCCCAGTTTCACTCTTCTGCCTGTAGCCGTCAGCGTTCCCAGCACCGTTTCTTGAGGCTTTCCTTGCTCCGGTGTGTGTTCTTTGCTTCTTCGTAGATTCATCGCCCGTACTAGTGTGGGCCTACCGTGGGCTCCCCGTGTCCCCACACTCCTGTAATGACTGTAGCTTTGGGGTCTAGGCGTGTGATACCGACATTGTTACTCCTCTTTGTCAGGATTGCCTTGGCTACTTGGGGCTTTCTGTGCTTCCATATGAATTTCAGGTGTCATGGAAACCTTGATAGGGATTGCAGTGCATCTGTATATTGCCTTGGGTCAAATGGTATTTTATCAGAGTTAATTCTTCTGATCCATGAGCAGAAAGCACCTTTCCATTTGTGTTTTCATCCACTTCTTTTAACAGTGCCTTATAGTTTCTGTTGTGCGGCTCCTTCACCTCCTTTGTTTACTCCTTGGTACTAATTCTTCTTGATGTGGGAGGAAAGGGGATTGTTTTCCTGATTCTTGTAGTTCACTGTTTGCATGTAGGAAAGCAACTTATAAAAAAAAAAAAAAGATTTATTTATTTATGCATACGAGAACTGGGGTGTAGCCAGAAGTGCAGGGGTGGGAGGATTCCCCAGAGTGGGGAGCAGAACAAGCAGCTCCATGAACTCCACTGTGCAGTGGGAAGCATCAGGCAAGACAGGAGGGGTCTGCTGCGCTCTGTGTGTACTCTGCTGCTTGGCTGGCGATAGCTTGTTAACTCTGAGACTTACCCCCCGTGCCACCAGGAAGGCCTAGAAAGCAACATATTTTTATAAATTGATTTTATAACCTGCCAAGTTACTGATTTACTATTTCTAATAGTTTTTAGTGGCGTGTATCATGGCATCAGCAAATAGTGATAGTTCCACTTCTCCTTTTCTGATTTGGATTCCCTTTATGTCTTTCTCTCACCTGATGGCTCTGGCCAGGACTCCAGCACTGTGCTGCATGGCAATGGCGTGAGCCTCTGGCCTATACCCCACAGTCTGTGTGCATAAATAAATAAATCTTTAAAAAAAAAAAAAAAGATTTATTTGTGCATACAGAACTGGGGTATAGGCCAGAGGTTCAGGAGCGGCGAGAGGCTTCACCAGAGACAGAGTGGGGAGCAGAACAGGCAGATCGACGAAGTCCACTGCTGAGGGGAGCAGCGGGCGGGTCAGGAGAGGTCTGCTGTGCCATGTGGTCACCTCCGGGGCAGGCGGGGATCCAACTCATGCGGAAGCGGCCTCAGATTCTCAGTGCTGTGCTTTAACCCGCTGCGCCACCAGGGAGGGCCCTGCTGTGATTTTGATTGTTTCCTCCCTCTCCTGGCCCCTGGTTTTGTGTTGTTGTTGTCTGGTTGAAGTCCTCTGGGGAGCGGGAGGTGTGTGAGTGTGCTGTGCCTCCCCCCAGGGCTGCGCTTGCCCTGGCCGCAGGCCTGGTAGCTTATGTCCTTATTTTCGTTGGGCGCCAGGTGCTTTTTAATTCCCTCTGCCCCCCCCCCCCACCAGTAACCACTTGGGGGCGTCACTCAAGTCTCCACACAGGAGAGGTTCCCGCTTGCTTTCTGTGGTGGTTTTCTGCTTTGAGACCAAGGGGACTCTCGGTATGTTTTCAGCCTCCGTGCCCGGGGCCTGGCACGAGGCCTGTCCTGGGGTGTGTCCAAGTGCACGTGAGAGGAACGTGCATCCTCTTTGGTGCCCTGTATGTGTCCTTCAGGCCACATGACTTGGTTCTTTGTTGACGGCTGTGACTCCCAGTTCGCTTTCCGTCTGGTTGACCTGAGCATTGAGTCCCGACCACTGATTCTTGCCCGTGTGTTTTCAGACTTGGTAGGAGTCGCCTCACCAGTCTCGCTGCTCCTTCAGCGGGGAGCATCTGCCAGGAGCGAGCTGTCTCCCTGAGTGGTGCCCAACTCTTCCATGCCAGTCCCCCGCCTCGCCTTCTGCTGGTCTGGACGGCTGGTCCTGCCTTTCTTGGGGCCGCTGGCATTTTCAGTGCTGTGCACCCTCGCCCCTCCTGCGAGGACTCATGCAGCTGACGGCCCCCTGCAGTTCACAGGCGTGTGGAAAGGCTGGGAAAATGGGCCGTGGCGCACACGGTCATTTCGCCAGGGCTTCAAACACAGCGGCCTTCCCTCTGCTCACTCACGCTGTCTCATGACCACCTGCTGCGGGAGAGGGACCAGGCCCGCCCTCCCTCCTGCGGCTGGCGGGGCGAGGCCGGGTGGCGGCGTCCCGTCCACTCGGACACCTGGCCAGTCTCGGCCGGGCCCTACCCGGGGTCAGTTGGCCCTGTGACATGTGTGTGCTGGGGGTGGTCAGGCCAGGCTTCACTGCCTGCTCCGTGGACGTGTCTTTGGTAGCGAGGTGGCAGTGACCGCGAGCCCTCCCGTCCTGTCAGTGCTCCAGCCAGCTGGCCCTGCGCAGGCCCTGCCCGGCCATGTCGCCCCACCAGGGGCCTCATCAGGGCCGTCCTGAGCCACGGCAGAGAGCGCCTCTGGACGGAGGTATCGGGGTCACTTGTGTGTGGCCCCACTTTTGTCGGGACAGTTGTGACTCCCTTTAGTGACGGTGGCAGACAGCTGCAGGGTGTGGTGCTTCTGGTCCAGGCCGTGTGCCCAGCTCCCTGCCCAGCAGGTGCGCCCCATGGCGCCCCCTTGCCTGGCACCAAGCAGAGCTGGGGTGTAAAGAGACCGGGGGCCTGGGCCCCGCTCCCAAGGGCGCTCTGGTCACCATGTCCTTGAATTGGAGCCCCCCCCCACTCAACCCCCTGTCTTTGTGACCCTGTCTTTGTGCCCTGTCCTGCTCTCTGCCTTTGAGGACCGGCACTGGCCACTCCCAGAGCTCTGATAGACAGGAACCATCTCCTTGGAGATGACAGTGTGACCTTGACCTCTGACGCCTGGCTCACGTCCCACTATGGGCATCCGCTGGGCCAGAGTCTGGGCACTGTGTGTTGGTCACCTCAGGGTCTGTGAGGACAGCCTGTGGAGGGCAGTCGGGGGGCCAGAGGGACGTGTGGGGTGGACATGGGTCCTGGTGCCCTCACAGATGGCCGTGAGGCAGCGGGGCAACTGCACAGCGGGATCATCCCGGCTGGGGCAGCCGACCCTGACGCGGACTCCCATGCTCAGCCCTCCCACTCATCTGCGAGGTGCATCCTCAGCGGCACTCAGCCCCTCTCTTTGCAGACACACGTGTCCGGGGCTGGCTACTGCTGGACTCCTACCTGCCCACCTTCTGCCTCACTGTCCTTTACCTGCTCTCCATCTGGCTGGGCAACAAGTACATGAAGCACCGGCCCGCGCTCTCCCTCCGGGGCGCCCTGACCGTGTACAACCTGGGCGTCACCCTGCTGTCTGCCTACATGCTGGCCGAGGTAGGTGCGGGCGTGGGCCAGGCCTGGGCGTGGGTCCTGCTGGGAGTGCACGGTCCCCCTCCGTGCACTGGGGGACAGGGAGCCTGGCGAGCGGGGCAGCAGCGGCCCCCAAGTGCTGCCCGGCTGTGGTGGAGATGGCAGGCGGTGCCTTCCCGCGGGAAATGAGCCCCCCTCCGCGCCGGGCTGGGCTGCCGCCTCTGGGCACTGCTGCTCAGGGGTGCGGGCCGGCTAGCTGGGCGGGGTGCACAAAACCAGGAGAGCCCGAGGACTTCCATGCCCCATGCTCCTCTCCACGGGCGGGGACCTGAACTGCAGCACAGCCACGGATGGGGGGCTCCCTGCGCCCAGCCACACAGCCTGCTACCCAGGGCAGCACCCAGCCCCAGAGGACACCCTGGGGTTCTAGTGCAACCGGGCTCACATGCCGCAGGGCCGGGGCGGTGGACAGTGCCAGGCGCGGCGGCCCAGTCAGGTCCTGGCTGACTTTTACTGTCCCACCTGGTGCACTGTGACCGCAGGGGCCCAACGTGCCTGGGCAGGATCGCTGAGCCCAGTGCCCTTGGGCGGGCGCTGGGGGAACAGTGCCCACTCAGGCTGTGTGAGGCGCACTGGCCGGGATGCCCCGGGGCATGAGCACAGCCCCAGGCCCGAGGCAGGAGACACAGGCGGTGGGACAAGCACCAGGCCCTGGGCAGCAGGGGTCTGGCTGGGACCATGTGCACGTCCCAGAGCCGGAGTGCCGCAGGGGGCGCCCTCACCTGGGAGAGGGCCATGCCAGTCAGCAGCCTGGGAAGCCTGCTGGCCTGTAGCTCGTGAGTGGCGATTAGTGATTCCACGCGGGGAATTGCCCTGCTCTTCCCGGCTCAGAGCAGACCGCTCGGTCCAGCACCCGGTTTGGAGCGCGAGCTCAGAGGCCGCCGCTCAGACCTGCAGCCGGCACGAGCTGGAAACAAACGGAAACGCCGCTTCCCTCCAGGTTCTGACTTGTCTCCCTTTGACCCGGACAGCTCATCCTGTCCAGCTGGGAAGGCGGCTACAACCTCCAGTGCCAGGACCTGGCCAGCGCGGGGGCCGCCGACGTCCGGGTGAGTGTGGGCTCTGCCCAAGTGGCAGAGGTGCCCGCCGGGCCTGCGGCCTGCCCCGCGGCTCCTGAGCAGGAGACAGCGCCGTGTGCGGAGGCAGGACAGGCCAGAGCGCCGGCACGGCCCATGCACCCCGGGGGGCGGCTTCACGCAGTGTCAGGACTAAGTCTACAACCGGGAAAGAGCCGCGCCCCAGACTGCGAGAAATGTACAGCCAGTGCCTCCTGGCCGTGCACGACGCTGGCGACGTCCCGACGCCCACCGCAGTGGCGTGGCTGGCATCTGCCCGGCGCAGGCGTGTGCTTTGACATGCGACAGTGATGGGCGAGCGAGCCCAGAAGCCGGGTCAGACGGGCCGCAGCCCTCGCGCTCTGTGGGAGGCCAGGTTCTGTGACTCTCTGCCCTGCGCCCTGAGCCCTGGGGCCCGGGACACGGGGGCCGCGGCCGAGCCGGGCGCCGTCAGGCCGCGGGGCCCTGAGGTGCGCCGTGCTGCTGGGGGTGGGCGGCCACTAACAGATGTCAGCCACCTTTCTGTCAAGATGAGTTTATCTTTGCGTAGAAGAGCTGGGTGCAGGCCAGAAGGTGCGAGGACGCCCCAGAGACAGTGGGGAGCAGAACAGGCAGGTCCCCTGAAACCCAAGGCTGAGGGGGCAGCGGGGAGACAGGAGGGTCTGCTGCACCCTGGGGGTCCCTCCCTGGCTGGGGGTGGACTTGGGCCTCAGCAGTGACATCCTGAGACTGACCCCTGCGCCCCAGGAGGCCTGTTGGTGTGACCTTTTGAGGGTAAAACACAATGCATTTTAGGAAGATTTAGAGTGACTTCTGTGGGGAGTTCGCCCACAGCTTGGGACTGAGGGAGACCGCACAGTGACAAGCAGAAAGCCCCCAGCCTTGCGGGAGGGGGCGGGCAGGGGGGCAACAGGGGCTCGTGCCTGACCCCACCTGGCCGCAGGGCTCCCACCCCGTGCCGGGCTCACGCGGCCCAGACCCGCCGCAGGCTCCCCAGCCACAGCTGCGTGTCGGCGACAGAGGGCAGCAGAGGCTTGGGGACCGGGCAGTGCCCCCCCACAGGCCCCTGGGACATCCTGGTCGGGCTTCGGAAAGATGACAAGATAGCCACGTCCCCAGCGCGGTGCTCCAGAGCAATACGATAGCTTGGGTTTGCTTATAATTTTCACATTCGTCCCGCCCCAAAATGGCGGGGACTAGAGTCGATCTGGCCAGTGGGACCCCGCTGAGGGGCAGGGCCGGTGGGCATGGGCCCAGACCTCTGCTAAGCCTTAGGGTTCACCTCTCTGAAGAGCTCCACCGCAAAGGTGAGCTTGCTCTCGCCCTCCTTCCTGCCACGAGCCCCGGAGTGCTGTGGCCGGTGTCTCTGACCGCTCTGACCACGCCCTCCGGCCTGGAGCTGGCCCACCACGCAGCCGTCCACGCCATGTGACCGGCCTCCCGGGACGAGCATGGCGCTCTCCGACCCAGCCCCGCCGCGCGTCTCCCCACCCACACTCCACAGGGCCTCTGGCGTCTCCCCACGCCTGTGACGGGGCCGGGGCCGGGGTCTGGACCTGCGTCAGGATGCGGCCGGCGGCTCAGGCTGCTCCGAGGGGTGACGTGTGGGGGCCGGGCCTGGCGGACCCCGCGCTCACCCCGTGCCCGGCAGGTGGCCAGAGTGCTGTGGTGGTACTACTTCTCCAAGTCCATCGAGTTCCTGGACACCATCTTCTTTGTTTTGCGCAAGAAAACCAGCCAGATCACGTTCCTGCATGTGTACCACCACGCCTCCATGTTCAACATCTGGTGGTGCGTCCTGAACTGGATCCCGTGTGGGCAGAGTGAGTGTGGGGGGGCACGCGACATGTGGGTGGCACCCTAGGGCCCCATCCCGCCCAGCACAGTTGGCCTTTCCTCAGACACACTCACGCCCCTGGGGCAGCGCACCCACCTCCAGTGAGACTCGGGCGGCCCCAGGGCCCGGTGCCCGTGGGTGTGCTTGGCAGACCTCGAGGCGCCGCTTTCTCCACCAAGCATGGGCGCCTCTGGCGGGGCCGGGCCTCAGCCCAGCAGTGGCCGTGTTGAGAGCTTGCCGGAGCAGTGCTCCCCAGCCGCGAGGGCAGACCGGCAAGTCTGGGCCCAGGGCCTCCAGGCCAGCTCGGAGTACCCTGGTCCTGGGCTTTGGGAACCCCGTCACCCTCGCTGCCTTCAAGGGGAGGCCGAGGGCGCAGCGCCATTGGGGCTGGGGGGCGGTCTGCACCCTGAGCTGTGCTGCCCCACAGGCTTCTTCGGCCCCACGCTGAACAGCTTCATCCACATCCTGATGTACTCCTACTACGGGCTGTCTGTGTTCCCGTCCATGCACAAGTACCTTTGGTGGAAGAAGTACCTCACGCAGGCCCAGCTGGTGCGTACAGCCGTCCCCCCACCCCCACCACAGCCGGCCCCAGGTCCCGGCGCTGGGGCTGCCCGTGTTCCCTTAGTGGCCTCCTGGCTGCTGACCCCGGTGGGCAGCTACCCCTGTGTGGGCAGCTCTGCCACGACCTCCCCGGGCCGCAGTGGGCATCTGGGCACCGACCCCACACGCTCACAGGCGGGCCTGGCAGGTGCAGTTCCTGCTGACCATCACCCACACGCTGAGCGCCGTGGTGCGGCCCTGCGGATTCCCCCGCGGCTGCCTGCTCTTCCAGTCATCCTACATGCTGAGCCTGGTCGTCCTGTTCCTCAACTTCTACGTCCAGGTGAGTGCGCCGGCTACACTGGCCGCGTGGCAGGGGCGTGCGTGGCCACCGCAGCCGGGACGGGGAGTGGGGTGGACTCCCGTCTACTGTGCCATGAGGCTGACGAGCCCCCAGGTCGGAGCTGGGCCCCACCCACCCCCCCGTCCAGCATGAGGGGGCAGGGGGACAGCAGAGGCGGCCAGCAGGTCCCAGGAGGCTCCCGGGCCGAGTGCGGATCTTGGCATCAGCTCAGCCACTGTCCGAGCTCGGCCTTTCCGAGTCTGCACAAAGCTGGGAGCTGGGGGAGACTTGCGCCTCCCCCTCTGCCCCGTGAGCCTGACCCCGCAGGGCTGGGCAGAGCGTTGTGGGGCGAGGGGGGCAGGCGACGGGTCTTTAGGCGTCCAGGCCAGCTGGCTCGCGTCCCCGGGAGAGGGCCCTGCCATCGGCATGCAGCCGCCTCTTGGACAGAGGGCTCTCGGCCCACTTCCTGTCTCTGTCATTTTCACGATTTCATGAAATCATGATTTCATGATTTGATCTTTTGTGGCAACACCGCCATCTAGCCCATGGGCCTGGCTGACCCGCGAGGTGGCACCTGTGTGCGCGGGAGGGTGTGGGGCGAAGCTGCGGGCAGCTGGCCACCGCCTGGGGATGAGCAGTCCGTGCGACCAGCGCGGACCAGCAAGGAGAGGCCACGTTTCCTTTCCTGCCATTTCTCTAATTAAGACCTGAAAGGGAGAAGGGACTCGGCCCCGTGCAGAGGCTGCTTGGCCAGCCCTGTCCCCCCAGAAGCTGGGGGGGTGTCCCCCGGCCCCCGGCTGTGGAAGGAGATGCTCCGAGGAGAGGTGACACCCTGTGCTGGGGCGTCTCTGCCCTCCCACGGGCGGGAGTGCGCTCAGGCAGGTGCTCTGGCCTGAGTGCGCCCCGCCCCGCTGGGCCCGCTGACACTTCAGCGGGGTCCAAACAAAAAGCTATGTTGAGTCTAGCTGGGAGGTGCTGACAGGGGTGGGGAGGGACTAGGGGACCCCTAGATCCCAGTGCATCTGCTGTGACATGGTGGTGTCACTCTGATGAGATGCGGGGTGCTGGGTTCCCTCTGAGAAATGCCTGAAGGGCCCCTCTCTGGCTCGAGAGAGGCCACCAGTGACACCGGCAGGCGACAGGTGCTGTCCAAGGAAGGAGGCAGCCGCTGGGCCTGAGGGGCAGGTCTGGGAGAGGGGCCTGCGGGCCTGGGAGGGAAGCTGCCTGGCTGGGTGGGGACTCAGCCTGAGGCGCTCTGGCCCCTGCCTAGGCCTTCCCCACATCCCCACAGCGTGGGGCCTTCTCGTGTCTGCGGCTGGCAGAATGACCGTGCCCGACATCTCAGCCCCCTCCGGCTTCTGGTCTTCTCACGCCTCTTCCCAAATTTTCTACGGGACGCTCCATTATTGCTTTAAAATAGAGGCGACGGGTCAGGTGTTTATGCCCCACACCCAGCCAGACCAGAGCTCGTTGCCACCCTTTCACGCCCATGCGGTTCTGCAACGGCCACATCCCGTTGGGGTCGCCACTCGTGCAGGCCTGGTGCCAGGCCCTGTCGTGTGGACCCTGAGCACCGCGGTAAAGAGGTGCAGCCCCGCGCCGTCTGGGTTTTCACCTTGCTTGCAGCCAGAGGTCTGGCGCGGCCTGCGGGAGCGGTTCTCCCGGAAGCCCCTCCTGGCAGCCGCCGCACAAGCTCGCTGACGGCCCTCTCCTCTCCCCGACCACCCACAGACATACCGGAAGAAGCCGGCGAGGACAGGCGTGGACGGGCGCCCCGCCGGGAAGGACGCCCAGAACGGCTCTGCCAAGGCCCGTGGCCCGGCAGCCAACGGCGTGACGGACAAGAAGGCCCAGTGAGCCCCGCAGGGCGGCCGCGGACCAGGCCAGAGCCAGACTGGGCCGTGATCTCGGCCCCACATCCACTAACTTCTCTCGCGTTTCTAAATCACTTGCACTGGAATGTACTAAGACACTGCTGTTAGGTTAGCCTGTTAGCGGAGGCTGCTCAGGGCAGCTCGGCTCCCTCCAGCGGCCCAGGGCCGACGCCTGGGCCTGGAGCAGGGCGGCTCGTCCGGCGGGTCCGCCAACAAAAGTTAGTTTGTTCAGGTTGTAACGTTTAAAGCAGAAAGTTAAGTCTTTTCCTACTGGGCACTCTGCCCAGTGTTAGCAATAAGCGCCAGTGCTGCAGGGTCCTGCCCCCTGGCCCTACCCCCAACCCCATCCCGGCTCCGCTCCACCCCTCACAGACCAGCTGGGCCACAGGCCGGGAATAGTCTCTGCTTGGTTTTTCCTCAAGGGATGATTTTTCTGAGTAAAAGACCTGCGTCAGCCTCCTGGGGGAGCCTTGGGGAGCCGCCCTCTGCTTCCCTCGGGCCTGCCCCCCAGACCCGGTCAGGAGGCGCCAGGCTCAGACTCATGGGCAGGACCAGCTGCCACCCGCTCCCCCACTGGGCCACCCTCCGGCGCCTGTGGTGCCGCAATTCACAGGCGGGCCTTGCACCATTCCACCAAGAGCAGGGGGTGGCGGCCAGCGGAAGGCAGTGGGGCGGCCCTCGGGCTGCCCTGTCCCCTACGGCCGCCTGCCCTGTGGCTGCCGGGGAGGAGGGGCGAGAGGCTAAGGGCAGGCCTGAGTCAGTGCGCAAGCAGGTGGCCCGGCCTGGGGCCTGCCCCGCCCCGCCCTGAGCTCTAGTTTTAAAACCCCTTGGGGCAAAGCACTGGGTTTTGTACCAAGTTTTCTCACTTCAGTTTCCAGTAAGCTGCCCTCTCAGGACCTGCCCTCGAGCCCCTCGAGCAGCCAGGAGCCCCTCCCTGTTATTGTGAACCTCACCTACTCTGTCTGGGTGCTCGTTCCGCCTGGAGCTGAGCTGCAGCACAGGTCACGCAGGGCCCACTGGTGCCCGGGGGAGCAGAGTCGCAGCTAGCCCCAGCCAGGCGCTGTCGGCGCTGTCTCAGGCGGGGCAGGTGGCCACGAGGCAGCAGATAGGCCGCAGGTCGGGCACCGAGTCCCTGGGCCTCCTGGTGCGTGGGGGTTTGGGTGGGGGTGTGGTCCTCATCCCCACCAGGCCTCCAGGGTCACCTGGGGCTGAGAAACAGCTGCCTCCTCGGCCTCTGACCCTGGCTGGTTGAGTGTGCGTCCTGCTGCCAGCTTGCAGCTTAAGAGAGATGTAAAGAGAAAAACCAAAACTCTTTCCCAGGGCCTCTCCCTGGTAGGCATGAGGCTGAGCGGTGATCCAAGATCCAGACCCCACAGAGTTTGCTCAGCGCCTGCCTGTGGGGCTGTCGGGCTTCCTGGGGGCAGCTCCGTGGAGGCGGCTTGCTCGGGTCCCTGGGCTTGGGGGGCAGGCTGCTGCCCACGGGGTCAGGGCAGGGCACGGGCAGGAGAGCCCACTTTCTCTGTAGACACTTTCTCTGTGTGATTACTGTGTAATAAATCGATTTTTACACTGATGTAAAGCCTACTGCAATGTGTCTTACCTGGGTTTGAGAAAAACCCCAAAATGACACCTGTGGCGTTTCCGGAACCTGGTCTTCAGGCGTGTGTGCACGACTGGTATTTAGTGACCAACACGACACACTTAATTCTGCACAACGGCCACTGTGGCCTGTGCTGGGGCCAGGTGTGTGCTGGGCTACTGAGCCCCGGGGGCTTACCTGGGCGGGCTGCAGGGAGGGGAGCGGCCACCTGTGGCACTGGGGCTGGGCTCTTTATGCCCAGTCAGTCCCTTCTGCCCTGGCTTTCGTAAGCTGTGGAATGACCATATTCCCGCAAATCGGCCCCGCCTCAGACCATGAGGGAGCTGGTGCTGGGGGGCGGGCGCGTTCTGCAATGCACAGCGAGAAGCACAGGAGACTGGGGTGGGGGAGGCCGCCCAGGGGTCCTCCCTGCTCATGAGGCTCATGAGGAGCATGACCTCTTGAGGCCAGACAAGTGCAAGAAGCCCGGGGTGGGAGCTGCTCCCCACCCAGTCTCCAGACAGGAAGGAGGAGGAGCACTGTCCTGAGGTGCCTGGGGGCGCTGGCTCCCACACCCCACAACCAGGGTGTCAGCAAGGTCTGCAGTGAAACGCCCCAGTCCTCTAGCGAGCCACACGGGGCACCTCCCCATCACTCTCTGGGGGTGACACAGCTCACCCCAACCACCAGCCTCTGAAACTGGGGCAGTGAGTTTGCTGCCCACCTCCAAGGCAGCGGGGCCCTTGTGGGTCAGGGAGGCCCAGCGACACCAGACAGACAGACCGTGGGCTTCTGGCGGCCGGGGCAGGGCCCAGGGCCCAGCCAGGGCGGACGGCCAGTGGCAGCCTCAGCGGGGCCTCCCACAAGTCACGCGCAGCGCTGCTGACCCACGCTGCGGCCGTGAAAGCATTGTGAAGCGCTGAGGTAACCGGCCAGACCCTCAGTCGGCAGTCTGCGCCCAGCACGGGGTGACTCGCACCACGGCGCCCAGCAGATGCACCCCGACAGCGGCCCTGTCTCCCTGAGGGAACTCAAACCCCTGCCCTGCTGAGCCCCTGGCCCCTCCACATCCCCTTCCTGTCCCCTCCCTGCCCCCACCTAGTCTGCCTCAGCTCAGGCTAGCAGTTCTGCTAACCACTGGAGAGACCAGTGTTTGCAAATGACAAGAAAAATAACAATTTCAAATAAAGGACCATTTTAGCCCATGCAAACATTGCAAATTAAATTCCCCCTTGAAAAGTGCTCTGGAGGGGGCCAGTCACTTCTCAAATGAAATTCTCGCTTTTAACGCCTTTGCTGACCCCATGTTAATATTGGTAAGCCAATAAATCCACTATGACTGCACCCCATTTCCAGCCAGCTGGGGGCCCAAGGGAGCCGGCTCCAGCCCCACCTCCTTCCACGCTGTCCAGGGGCTCAGGCTGAGGAGCACAGGGGCAAGGTGTCCTGCTGGAGCCACCCCTGGCCTTGACTGGGAGAGCAGCGAAGTTCCCTGCATACCTGGGGGGTTACTGGGGTCAGGCACTGCAGGGCTCCTCACACCCGAGGCTCCACTGCCGTCCACCATCCAGCCCAGCAGCCCCACGCTGTCCTTCAGGCAGGAAGGCGGCTTCCCGGCGGGAACTACAGGGAGCCGCAGGCCCCAGCACAGCTGTGACAGGGAGCTGCACCCACGCAGGCCTCCCGCTCCACCAGCAGACCCAGCCTTGGGAGCAGGGTGGGACCACGTGACAAACATGACCCCGTCCCCATGTCCTGTGCCCAAGCACAACGTCAGGCGTGAAGACCGCAGGAGCCCTCGCCACCTCTACAGTGTGGGGGGCAGTGACTTCTCAGTGTGCCACCAGCGAGCATGGAGGGGTGCTGACACGCCTCTCCTTTGTTTGCTTCCACCCCCTTCCTGGCAGGGTGCAGAGGGACAGGCCTTCCTGGTGGGCGGCAGCTTCTGGGACAGGAGCCCCTGACCACACTCAGGACAGGCGAGCAGAGCTCAGAGAACCACGCCGGGGCCTCCTGCTCCCTGGCTTCAGCTGGGATCCAAGAGGCAGGAGTGGGAGCCTTATGGTTTGGGGGACTCAAACATCTCCTGCATCAATAGGGATTCATAAATTTCACATTTAATGACTTGCTGAAGCTCTTTTGGGATTGTAAATGCACCCGTTTTTAGAAGCAGCACTAGCTTATGAAATGCCAGTTGTAAACTTCAAGGTGAGACAAGGAAGTGAAAAAGAATTCTACTGTTAAAATCAGGCAATACTCAGCAAATTGCTCATGCAATTTGCATGAGCAGGTAGGAAAATGAACCATCTAGGCAGAAATGTCACCTGAGATGGTTTTCTATTTGGAAAAAAAAAAGTCAATAGCAAACCAAAGAGAAAAAAAAAAAAGACAGTAAATACCTGATTGAGAGAAAAGGATATTCTCAAAGCAGGAAGAACTAAATATCAGGTCCAAAAAATACCACCTATGATTGATGAACCTTGTGGGCAAAAAAGTCTTTAAATGGAGCAAAGAGCCCAGGGGCATCACAAAGAGCACTCTGCATGTCTGACCCTCACCTGGGTCTACCCCCAGTCAGAGCCCACACAGACGGAGGATTCTGGGCAACGCCTCTGGGCCTCACCAAGCCTTCCTTCCCCACTGGTCTGTTCTGCCACTTCTGGATTTAGTTTCTCTTCTGACAAACGATTTGCAGCAATAGCTCACAGCACAGCCTGGATTTCCCGTCACCACATTCCCTCCACGGCATATCTCTGCATTGCCTTCTGGGATGAGTTGGATGGTCTGAGGGATCAGCTGTCCCCCGAGGTCCCCTGGCAGATCTGCTGTGCCTGGTATGACTGCAGACCCATCACTCACCTCAGCTCTGCCCAGAGAGGACGGTGCCCTGGAAACTCTCCTGCAGCAACCCATAGCTTCCACCAACCTGAGCCTTAACCCTGGCCCTCACCAAATGCCTGATGTCCTAAATTCAAAGCAACCTGTACCAACACACATAGTAGTGAAATTACTAAGCGTTAAAGCAAAGAAAGAATATTAAAGGCAGCTCGTGGGAAATGACGTGCCCCTAAAGGTATGTTCAAAAGGCTACTATTAGATTTCTCAGCAGGAATTGTACAGGTCAGGAGCATGGACAACACATTTAAAATACTCAAAGATAAAAATACAAGACATTCATGATAGGCACAACACTGTCTTTCATATATGACAGGAGGATAAAGGCTTTCTCTTACAAAAAGCTGAAAGGTTTCTCTGCGACTAGCCCTCCATTATAAAAAGAAATGCTAACCAAAAGGCACAAAATAAACTATTATAAAAAAAATGCTATCCACTCTTGTGCCTAAGTCAAAAATAACCAACACAAAACCAGACAATGTGTTAATAAGTTTAATAAGAATGTTCTACCTATCTCAGAACAGGTATGAATAAGCACAAATTCATAGGAAAGAAACATTAAAAATGTAATCTCATAGAGACCCTAGGTGCCGAGGATCTCACAGGATGAAAATGGACAGTTTATGGCAAAAAAGTGAGAGGACCCATCACAGGACAGAATGGAGAGGATCAGAACATCCTCTCCTGACACAAGCTATGCAACCTCTATTGACTGACATTCCGGATAGAGACGGAAGTGCTCTGAAAAATCACTTTCCGCGCTAACCTATGTTATTGTTATAGGGCACCCAAATCTGTTCCAGGACAAGGGGAGAGGGACACCCCTGAAGCCCCAAAACCTGCCTGCTCTAAGTGGGTTCTGCCATCCGCCGCAACAAGACAAAACATAAAACTTTAATGAAAAGGGACTTTCATACAGTAAATATACAATACGGAACACAAAGAATATAACTTCCAAATCAAACACCTGAAGTGACCCATCCCCTCGTGGGCAAAAGTCCACCCAAAAGGGATTGGCCCAAAGCAAGGCCTGAAAGCTGCCACTAGACTAAAGCACCGGGACCCATGGAAAAGGGTCAGACATGGCCAGACAAGTCTGGGAGGAAAAGAGCAACATCAAAATCAATATAAACACTGCCACGGTCACCTCCCTGCAGGTCTCTCACCCACATCTGCCTTTAACCAGTCCAGGGTCAGGAAACAAGCCCAGCTTCTTCACCACAAGCTTGCTGCTCCAAGTGGCTTCCTCAGGTCTCCTCGCTCCCCATCCTCCTTCTGGGTGGGCAGGGAACCTGGAACTTCCCTTTATCCTAGGGACCACCCTGTTACATTATGACCTCCCTTTTCTGTATAATCATAATATCAAAATATTCTGAACAACCTTCAGCTTACAATTGGATTGCCTCAGCCGCATAAGGCCTGCCTGCCTTGACAAGCAAGTGCTGCACCAGGGTGAGAAATTCCTCTTGAAGTCAAAAGTCATTAAACAACTGGCTGATTAATAAAAACAAATGGCTGTTACTGCAAAGTCTCTCTCACGGCCAGATGGAGGAAAACCCAAATCTTATCACTCCATCTCACACAGCCTTCGATTCAGTTTCTAAATAACCACTGAAGCTTTCTACTATCTAGTCTTTAGATATGGAAATTCACCCAAGTCACCTAAGCAGAGCTAATGGGTTTTTTACCATCTAGACTTCAAGGAAACTCACTTAAACTTTCTAACAAGTTTTTCAAAGAACCTTACCGTAATTTGATTTACAAGAAATTTCCTCTTCCTCACTTTACCCCCTAGGATGTCTCTATAAAAAAGTTAAGTGATAGATAATGTTTAAGGGACTTTATTTTGGTTAATCTTCACTGTGGTAAATATAGTAATATTAGTCTTAAACTTTGTGAATCTCTGTACCTGTTTTAACCTTGATAGATTGATTTTAAAAATGTTATAACCTCAACTACAGGTCAAACCGACCCCAGACTATTGTTAGCAAAAAGGTGATCGTGATCTCAGCCCATTTCATATGCTAATGTCATCCCTCTGCCTGCTTGTAATGTATAAAATAAACCTGCTGAAGGCAGAGCAGGAAGACTTACACCCA